CAAAAATAAAAAGAAAAAGGAAAAGATCACAATAAAAACGTTTAAAATTTAAATTTTTAGGTGTAGTGGGATCCCTGTGATAAAACTGTTCCATATTTGACAGTGATGGTGATCACACAAATATACAAAAGGGCATAGAACTAAACACACACACAAGTAAGTACATGTAAAATCTGAATACAGTCAGTGGGCTGTAGGAGCGTCAGTATCCTGGCTATGATATGTACTGTGGTTAAGCAACGGTAAAGCAGATACAGGATCTCTCTGCTTTGTTCCTTACCATGGATGTGACACTACAGTGAACTCAGGATAAAACATTTTTCTGAAAAACTAGTCATTACTCAGATTAAGATTCTGGATGTACCAGGCACCATTGTGAGAGGTAACCAGTTGGCTGAGTTGTGTGGTCACAGCATTTGCAATGTCACAGCCAAAGAATTGTTTTGCTGTGCTCTGTGCTGGGACTCCCATTTACATTTTCCCAGACCTTTCCTTCCCACGGCACTGCTCTGTAGTCAGACGTAGTTCCCTGAGAGCGGACCACCGACAGCCCAGGCTGAGGCCGAAATGGCAGAGCCTTCCTCTGCATCTGGGCAGCCTGTGATGCACCAGGTCAGGCATGGTGGGAATGGGAGGAATTCTGCATACTGCATTCTTCATGCTTAAAAAGCAGGCATCATAGGAGTACGGACAAAGCTGCTGAGTTTTGTATTTTTAGCATCAGAAATGAAGCCAGCTGGAGGGCGTCCTTGCACACCCATCATAGGAGTAGAGGAAAAGCCACTAAGTTTTGTACGTTTTAGTTTCAGAAGTGTAGCCGGCTGGAGGGCATCCCTGTACCTTCTTCCTTCTTTCTCTTCCACGTAGCTTCTTTCTCTCCACATCTCAAACCAAAAGCCCAGCCCTCAACCCACTAAGCAGAGTGGAAAGGTCCCTCATTGGGTCCTTCTCTGGGTGGTGCTCTTCTCCCCAGCCTGTGACAGACAACACCAAGACTGGAAATTAGGATAAAACAGATTTCAACGTAAAGATGCTGAGGACCCTGTCAAAGTCTATCACCCTCAGGTAGTGTGGGTCACACATATTCCCAGCTTCCCAAATCCTGCAAGGAGGAGACACCACATTGCCAGACCTTTAAAAAAAATTTTTTTAAAGACAAAATAAAACCTTATTTATAAAGCAAATGACAAATCAGGCCCAACCGAAGACGGTGACTTCCAATTGCAAAATAGCTGTTTGTAACTTGAGGATTTCACCGGGTAAACGACGGCCTCTGTTAGGCTGACTTCAATGCTCAATCCTCTCACATTCCCATCACAAGTTCTGAATGCTTTTGTTTATGTTGCAATCTTCAGGGCCCCTACCATGGCTGGTGCTTTTGGAACCTTTCCAATCCTATCGTTTGAATCTGTCTCCTGCTTATGGGCAGCAAAAACACAGTAAAAATGTGCAGTACATCCTGTTTGCAACAGGAAATGAGTCTAAGACCCATGGCTTAAGAGAGCAAACACAGGTTCCCAGACTAGCACAGACCCATAATCAGCCTGTCTAGCAACTTTGGTAGAAGTTAAGTAAAAACTAAAATGGCTCCCAATGTCTTCCTGATCACACTGAAGCCACCAGGATTCTCTGAATTACAAGTGACAGAAACACAACTCGAACTAGCTTAAGCACTAAGGATAATCCAAGGCCTGAAATAACTGAGAAAGTCCAGGGGTGGAGTCAGGAGCCAGCCTCATTGGAGCCTGAGGATCAGCCCTACCAGGTCACGTTGTGCCCTCCAGGCCGGCTGCCTCCTGCCTGGATCACTGGCAAGCAGATCACTCCATCGCTCCAGGCTTTGGTCCTCAGAGTTCCTGATTAGTGAGAAAGCGAGCATGCCTCCTGAGAGCTCCAGTGCAAGCCCCGAGAAGGGCTCTGTATGGCCCAAAGGAGGTCGCGAGCCTATTCTTAAGGTGATCACAGGTGATCACGGAGGCTGCAGAGATGGAGGACTTCAGTTGGCCATAAGGGGCCAAGAGCCCACTCTGGGGCTTCCCAGCTTGGGAGTGCAGATGGAGGGGGCGTCTGGTATTAAAGGTGAATGCAGAAAAAGGAGGTGTCCAGTTAACCTTCGTATCTAAGCAAGATTCTTTCAGAATGTAAAAAGTGCTGAAATATGTAGATCTATGAAGCATGTCTACAATTACTGATGGCCGGTTGGAAGACAAATTTCTATAAGATAATTCAGATGTAGTTCTATTTTTAAACTTAAAGTTTCCCAGTTCGGCAGTTCCCATTCAGATTGCATTTTAAAAATATGGCTTCAGGGAATTTCATTTTAAAGGAAAAGGTGAAACCCAAAACCACTTGCTTTAAGTTTTAAATGGAGGCTTCTGGACATGATGGTGACTTTATTTATTTATTTATAGACTCAACCTCATTGTCTGTTACAGTGAAAATGTACTGTGAGATCCAACTGCCATGGATAAAAAGATTTCAGTCCTATAGTTCCTGGGAAAAAAAAAAAAATTCTATTTTGTTCCCAAGTCCATTCATTTTATTTATAAAAGAGGAAGCCATACGAAATACACAAGTACTGATTCTCCTGTTTTGTTTAAGAAGCTTCAAGTTTATATCGAGATAAAGTATTGCAAGGAATTTGCTTAAAGATCACTGATTAACACAAATCATCTCTTGTTTGCCAAGAACACGTATACATTTAAAAATGAGTAATTAAAAGGAACCATTTTTTAAATATTTTATGAAACAGTCCTGGTCAAATTGCTTAGAGAGACCACACGTCACCTATAGGAATTCCCCACCTTCTGGACTATGGAAGTGCCCTCTAATAGGAATAAGACTTGAACAAGTGAGGACTCACTTAAAAATTTAAACCGCCAAGACTCCCATGGAATGTTGGGATTTCTTACTCATCCAAACTCTCTTGGTGACAATGACAGAAACAGAACTCAAACAAGCTGGGAGAGAGGAGAGGATGCTTGATAAATAAAACTGGCAAGTTACAGGGGGTGGGTGGGGACAACGGGATCTGAGAACTGGATGCAGCCAGGCCCCTTCCACGCTCGCTGCTACCTAGGTCGATTTTGTTCCCTCAGTTGAGCTTCTCTATGAGGGCAGGACCATGGCTTCTGAAAGCTTCTGGGCTCATATTCCAGCTCCACAACAAGAGAGAAAAGATTTGCTTTAACTCTCCCTGCTTTGATGTGACTTAGATGCAACTTTACCACATGCCCCAGGTCCAGACCTGTCACATGACCAGAAGAATGGGGCACTGTGATTGACTCAGCCTCCGTTCCACCAACCCACATTCCAGAAGGAAATGGTATGTGGGGTGGAGGAAGGTCTGTACCACTGCCTTAGGTCCAGGCAAACAAACAGGGATCCAGGTCAGGACTCAGTATTAGAGTAGTGCCACTCAAAGTCCAAGGAGCAGTGAGGTCCGCATGCTGTTCTGTCAGTTATGAGTCCATGCCAAGACAAGGAGCTTCACCAGCATGTCAATCAGCACACTGCCTCCTCTATTGAGGAAGTCTCACCCTCAAAAAAAAAAAAAAAAGTCAGTTCAACCAAAAACTGTGTTCAGAGACCTATTTGGCTTCGTGCTTTTGAGTGATGCTTCTGCACAGTACCCTGAAAGGTACTGGAGATGCAGAAATAAATCTCACGCACGTGCGCGCGCGCGCGCACACACACACACACACAACCATTGCTGATAATCTGGCAAGAGAGAAGGGCATATACACAAAAAACATAGTGCTATAATGGCTGATGAGCATAAGATCAAGGTAATCATGGCAAACCCCTGAATGAAGGACCTGTGATTTCATTCAAAACAGAAAACCTGTTCAATGGAGCCCTCTAAAGAGCTTGTATAGCAAGACAGTGCTGCCCCGTTCTGGTGATCTTGTGGGTCCATCCCGAACAGGACCCCAGGAGAGACGATCGGCAGGAGCCCAGTTAGGACTTTGGCCCTGAGGACTGAGTAACCTTGGGTCCTCACCCTGTGCTCCAGCACCACAATTCCAGCTCCGGATTCCAACTTGTCCTCGTTGCTGAAGCTCAGGATCTGACCTTGAGCTCTCCTCTGCTTTCAGACATGAAAACCCCTCATGGACCATTCCGGAGCCATGCCAGAAAATTACCCTTGCTAATTACAATGAAATAAAGAGTACTTCTGTGCCAAGCAGCAAGCCTATGCTATCTCTACAGCAACTGTCAGGGAAAAAGCAATCCAGAGTCGCATTAAAAGAGAGAACTGAAAGTATTGTGCTCTCTCAGGAAATTGAAAGAAAATTCACATCTTTACTTTTGTCTGCCAGCAGATGTCTTTACCTTGGAGGATGTCCTTTCTGCCTGCAGATGGGTCAGGTAGCGGAGGGCTGGCTCAAGCCAACAAATGCACTTGAATTCCCCGATTCTCCACTCTCTCTGAAGAATACTTAATCTTAATGATATTTCTTGCAGATACACATTAATTCTGCATTGTTCCGGTCACAGAAAATGCCATCTTCTTGGACGATGGTATTAAACATTCACTTCATGTTTCTGTTTCCAAGATTGAGTCTTTCTTTCTTTTGTCAGGGACACTACTTTGTCGCTGGGGTGCCAGGCTTCCTCAACCTCTGCTATCTCCCTGGGTTCTGGTGTTCTCCTGTCGTTGCCCGGTGGCCCCTCCAAAGGCTTTGCATCATGCTTTCCCTGCCCATAGCATTAAAATGGCCCTGGTTATTCCTCTTCGTGCCAAGAGCAAGCTGGAAACCACCTTGGTAGCCCTCAGAATAGACCACAACGGCCCCCCTCTTCTTAAGGGCCTTTGCAACGATGATCTCCAATTCTAACTTCTTTGTGCCATTCTAACTAGTCCCTTCTAACAAGAGGCAGAGATGCAGATAGAGACAGAGAGACAGAGACATACAGAGAGAAAGAAATATCACCATAAAAAAAAAAACAAACAAAATTCCGAGACGCACCAGGAAATACTCAGAATCTTCACTAACCAATTTTCAAGTCTTCCTTTCCTGGTATCTTAACTGCTTCGGGGTTCTCTCTCAGCCAGGAAGCTGTTCAGTACAAAACAAAAATCATAAGAAGAGCATCGGTAACAATGCAGGACAAATTAGCAGTCAATGAGCATAATTTGTATGAAGCTCTCTCTGATTAAGAAAACAATACTTTGTTGCCTTCATTTCACAAAATTATTCCAATAGAAGGCTGCATGGAACAGAAAATCCAGTGCTGAATCATGAAAGGCAGTGGATCAAGGTCTTTCATCTAGGAAATCTTTAGCTAAAAAGAGAGAGAGAGAGAGAGAACATCAATCAGATATTATTTCCAATTATTTTTCAAATTGGAACAGAGAAAGAAAACACACACACACATAAGCCTGACATGGTGTTACTTGAGTTTGTTGCTGGAAGGAAAGTCCTTGCTTATATTGAAGTAAAGTTCTGAAAATAAGCAAAGAACAGATTTATTGATTTTGGGGGAGTCTGGGTGTAAAAAAGAGAGAGAATAAAGAAGTGCTCTTTGCCCGCTCTGTCCAAATGACATCCCAAGTGGCCTCCCTAATGGTGGGGGAGGGGAGGGGGCAGGTGCCTACCCGGGCACATGGACAGAACTGCCCTTAGGCTAGGGCTAATGGTATTGGCTGAGCCCTGCTGTAAGCCTCTCTTTTCTAATAGCCAACTTTCTATGTGCGAGAAGACAGACAGATATTGATTGGTCCAAATGCCCTTGAGTTGACAACATCTGAAATGAAAATCCACAAGGCTAGCACAAACTTTCTGCAAGTTCAATTTCTAGAATCTGATTATGACACTGGACTGTGAAATCATTCACACATGTAAAAGGCCTCTCTTTTTTGTACCCCCATTTGGCACTTGTAATTGGAGGGAGTTAAGTGGCTTCATCAAGCTTGTTATTCAAATATCCAACAGAAAGAGGCAACTGCAGGCTAATCTTGGGGTGATTAAAGGAAGAAACGTTCTCCCGCTGGTGCAGGGCTAATGTCAGCAATGAAATGGACCAAGGCCTCACGCCACTCCCCACCTGAAAAAGGAATTACACGCAGCTTAAATACACAATCTCTAAAAAGCTCATGCACAGAGCTGCTTTCTGAGTTATTTCAGAACACCTACAGAGAAACTCATGATTTCATTACCCATGCATTTGGAGGGGATTAGAGCCCCCATTTTGTGGTCCCCATTACTCTATCACAATTAATTACTTTTTTCCTTTTCCTTCCTCTCCCAAATAAGATGCTGAAGCTGCAATTCACAATTGTTAAAGTCCTGGGAATAGCAAGGTTTGCGGTACTCTATCCAGCTCTTATTAAAACATGCCTCTGTATTCTACAAATTCCTCTTGATCAATACATCGACTGCAGTATAAACCTTAAATAAAGCACTATTACACTTGAAGTACGCACTGTTCTTGTCTTAGTAGGTTACTTAGAAGCATAAAAAGGCAAAACCTTTTGGAATTGGCATCTGGACATTTGTGCCAAGGAAACTGCAGATGGAATACACATTAAATTTATTCCATCATTGATTGGAAACGCTGATCCTTTATGGCTTCACGTTTCTTTCCTCATTAATCTTAGTTAACCCTCTCAAAACAACGCCAGCTTTGTTGGTCCAAGTATCTAAAACCCACCATGCAGAGAAGGCAGCTTTTTAAGAAGGGTTTGATTCCTAGCATGAGTAAATCAGCCAACAATCCTTGTCTTAGAAAATGTCACTGCTTTCTTTTTTAAAATATTAAAACAAGAAAGAACAGCGTTCTGCACAACTCGGGTTTGGGGGGATAAATGGAAGGCAGAAGAGAAGGGGATGTTAGTAGAGCCCGGTGGGAAGCCCATGGATTGCCAGAGAAGAGATGAGTAGGAAGCTCGTGGACTTGTTGCTACAGCACCAGCCACGGGGAGTCATTTTCAGCACACATCCCATGTCACCCATGACCAGAACCTGGCATGGCCAGGAACTCTGCAGGTCAATGTTTCGTGACTTCTACAGCTCAAGAAGAGGTGCTTCCCAGTCAAATATACGTCTGGGGTTTGGAGATAATGCAATGGTTCTAAACACAAAAGGAATATTCTCAGATGTAATGATTGTGTTCCCTGCACCCTAATTTGGCTAATTGATATGATACTAACTTTCCATTTTTCTGCCAAACAGAAAGAAATGCCTGGAATCACTACTTCCTTGCCGACAGCAATATAGGGGCCTTGGATAAGCCTCATGCTTATCCAACAGTTGGCCCTAAACTGCCCTACTGCCCCTCGGAACAGGCCACAACTGCCCTATTCTTCCTAACAGCCTTACAAGAGTGTGCACCAATCCTGACCTTTTTACGTCTTTCTTGCTGGTCCCCTCTAATAAGAGACAGAGAGAAAGAGGGGAAGAAAAGAAATACTATGAAAACTTGGACACAAAATTCTTAAGGCTTCTAATTCTAGAAGAAATAAAGAATTCCTAGAAAGAAATAGTAACAATAACCACCTGTTTATTACAGCAAAAATTTTAAAATATTTAACAAAGGACATAAAACCCTCTCTGCTGCCATGAAGCATGCATTTAGCTTACTGCAACCTTATGGATGGGGCTCAAGAAGGTAAAAGCCCTTTCTGAATTCACGAAAAGATCAACATCTGAATATATATTACAGATAAAGTCTAAGTACATCATAAAAGGCAGAAAAACACCAGCCTAACTTCTAGGTGGATGCGGGAGCCACTGGTCCCCACTGAGGGGACAGAGCCCTGGGGAAGGAAGTGCTAAATGGATTATGCTCACACTGCATCCACCTAGGCCTGGTTTGAAATGGCGGGCTGTCTTATCGGAAGGGAAATATAATTCTCCCAACCCAGAAGAAGATGTGATCTCAGCACAAAATGGGAAACAATAGCTGGAAAGTAATACCAGAACTTTCAGATGAGATACAAAAAAGTTAGTCCGCTTATGATTTATCTTCATGCATCTAGACATTTGAAAACAGCTGTTTGGATCATTCCTGAGTACTTTGATTTAGAAAGGCCCCCACATGCCCAGAATCAGCCTGGGGCACAGGACAGGAACAGCGTTTGCCCTGAGACTGACTAGAACCCATCTACCCAGTCACTGCACGCCATCCCCAACAGAGCGCCATCTATGGGATCTGTCAGACTTCCCTCCCCTTCCAAGCAGAACTGAAGGGCAGTTAAGAGTCACAGTCCTGGCTCTGAACTGTGGCTCTGTCATCTTCTGCCCAAGTGACAAGCCCTCGAATTTCTGCACGCCTCTGTCACCTCCACTACAAATGGAGATTCTGTCTCCTACCCAGTAACCTTCTGGCCCTCAGAACAGCCCCCAGGATGCTCTAAAAGGCCACGCCCCTCCATCGGCACTTGTATTCTTCGTCACACTCTCAGCTCTGGATGGTTTCTGTCTACTTCCAAAGAAAGAGAAAATCAGCCATTATAAGAACAGTCAACAAATGAGCATAGAGCTTTGAAGGCTGTTCCAAAAAGTGAGTTTGAATGTTTGAGCAATGCTCCACTTTGGTGGGGTCACTTAGGCTTCCAAAGTGACTCTGGAAAAGGTTACAGGTGTCGAGGAGCTCCGGCCTAGCTGTTTGCAAAGTCACCTCTCTGCCTTGACCTGAAAGTCAGAGCTTATCAGAAACACCCAAACATCTGAAAAATTCTTCTGTTTCTCCAACTGTGAACCAACCCACCGCCAAATGAGTGTGCCAGAAGACAGTGAGGATCCAATTACAAACCATTTACCTGTCTTGCCTGTCCCATTCGTGAGGTCCCAGCTCTGTGGCCCAGTGTTTGCTCTGCTTATGAGCGGCATTGACAGAAGGCCCTGCCCAGGCTGGGTCCTGATGACAGGCATCCCTCGTCACACTCCAGTGAACTCTTCTGACAGAGTCAGGACCCCTGGGGGCAGAATCCTGTGACCTAATTGAGTGGCAATCCCCTTTCAGCCATGTCACTGCCACCAGCAGGGCCCTGGGCTCTGTATAGCCACCTCAGACAGTCTCTCCCCAAGCCGGGCTTGGGTCCCCACAGCCTCTCCTGGCTGAGTGAGCGGGAGCTGCAGTGTGACCGGCTGCTCACAGCAGCTTGGTCCAGTTAAGCCCTCCATGCTGGGCCAGTTCCACACTGGGGACCAGGCAGAACCTGCACTTTGCCTTCTTAGAGGAGAAAAACACTTTTTGGATTGAGGACAAAAGATCCACTGAAAATAGCCTTCCTGTGTTTTCACATGGAAAAAAAAAAAAAAAAAAAAAAAAACCTTGAAGACAATGAGTTTCACCAGATGCAGCCAAATTCCAGGACAGAACCCTCCCTACCGCCCCGCCTCCACCGCAGCCTCCTTCTGGCTTGTCCTTCAAAAAACAAATACATGGGTTTTGTTTTTTGTTTTTTTCTAACTTCATAGTAATACACACTTTTGGTAGGAAATTCATAAAAATGAAGAAAGAGAAGAAAAATCTAAGACATTTATAATTCTAATTCTTCTTCCCAGAATAACCACAATTTTTGGTATATCATTCTAATTTTTTTCCATGAGTGTAATATTTTTTTTTGTTTTTTAAAACAAAAACACAATTACACCCTACATGTCTTTTTTCGGTTATGAACATAGTCTGAATGACTTTCAAGCCCTTAAATATTTTCTTTTCATGGCATTGAAAGGGTGCAGAGTTGTAGCACTGTGTGTTTGCCCAAATAAATGCCATATGTTGAGATAAGTCATGCCATGAGGAACATCGTTACCAGCCCATGATTATTTCTTCAAAATTCATAAAAAAGGATAAATTCAGACAGAACCGGTTTAGTTCAACTGACATGCATTTTTTTTTTAAGCAGGAAAATGTTTTTAAAAAAATAAATATATAAAACAAGTGGCAACTGAGAGCGGTGGTTCACGCCTATAATCTTAGCACTTTAGGAGGTCATAGCAGGAGGATTGCTTGAGGTCAAGAGTTCAAGACCAGCCTGGCCAACACGGCAAAACCTTGTCTCTACTAAAAATACAAAAGTTAGCCGGCCGTGTTGGTGCACAATTGTAATCCTTCCTCCTCGGGAGGCTGAGACTGAGAATCTCTTGAACCTGGGAGACGGAGGTTGCATTGAGCTGAGATTGTGCCACCGCACTCCAGCCTGGGCAACAGAGTAATACCCTGTCTGAAAAAACAAAATAAGTGAATAAATAAAATGGCAACCTCATAAGTTAGAAACTTACCACACTGTTTTTTGAAACACGCTCCCACAGGAGCTCCTTGATCTCCCCTCTGTGCTGCTAACACCACCTTTCTCAGGGGCCATGAGTGTGGCTGGCACTGTTTCTGCTTCTCAGTGTGGCCTCTGCAAGAACCACCACTCGGCATCACCCTGAGCAGAGCGACCACTTTGCTTACAGCATCTCTGCTTTGCTTACAGCATCTCCTCTCTAATGCCAGGGGCAGAGGAGCACTCCTTCTGGGTAGGAAGAAACCCCTCTGCCAGCCGTCACGGCCTCTGTCCAGGGTCAGCCTCCCCCGTTCTGGGAAGCCTGCCCTCCCATCTCTTGGTGGAGATACGGAACCTGGGGGTGGGGTCTGCTCAAGGCAGGTGGGCTCCTGAGCTTTACTTAAGGTGGGGGGGGGGGGGGGGGGGGGAAACTCAAACTCAGTGTAGTTCAACCTGCGTCTCTCCATGGCCTCCCTGTCCCTCTGAGGGATGCTGCCCAGACCTGCAAGCCAGGCGTTCGAGGCGTCTTCAGGCATTAGGGACATCTTCAGTCTCTCTCTGTGCCTCTCTCTGCCTCTTTCACCTATCAATAGCTTGGCCACAAACCCCTACAACTTTCCCTTCAGAATATTTTCCCGGAGCTGGTGGTGTGATTATCTAGCACGCAGAGTGCTTGGCATGGCTCCTGGCAATACGCATTCCCCACAGTTCTGTACCAATTGGCATACACACGTGTGTAGGTGTGCATGTAGATGGATGGATGTTTCCATGCATGACAGCCTTCTCTGGCTGCCCTCCTGCCCCCACTCTTTCTCTACGTGGACTCCAGGTTGGGGTGGGGAGTGGGAGGTTTGTTTTTTGTTTTGTTTTGTTTTTTGTTTTTGTTTTTGTTTTTGTTTTGAGATGGAGTTCTGCTCTTTCGCCCAGGCTGGAGTGCAGTGGCACAGTCTCAGCTCACTGCAACCTCAGCCTTCCAGTTTCAAGTGATTCTCCTGCCTCAGCCTCCCGAGTAGCTGGACTACAGGCACCCACCAACATGCCTGGCTACTTTTTGTATTTTTAGCAGAGATGGGGTTTCACCATGTTGGCCAAGCTGGTCTCAAACTCCTGACCTCATCATCTGCAGGCCTTGGCCTCCCAAAGTGCTGGGATTACAGGCATGAGCCACCACACCCAGCCAAGTCTTTTAAGCTATCAATCTGAGTACTCATTCATCTGCTTAGACCTTTCAGTGGCTTCCTGCCATCCCCAGGGACAAGTCTCGAATTGCTCACACACCTTACAAGGTTCTCTCGGATCTGTTCCCACCACCTCTCCAGGGTCACCTCTCCATTTTCCTCCAATGCTCCTCCCCTACTAAGGCCTCTGCACACTGGTCTAGACAGCATTGTCCACCATGTAGCCACTAGCCACATGTGGGCATTCAGATTTAAATTTAAATTAATTAAAAGTAAATGAAATCAAACATTCAGTTCTTCTGTTGGAATAACCACACTGCATGCTCAGCTACCATCTTGGACAGCACAGATGAAGAAAATTCCCAGTGTGATGTTCCCTGGACAGTGCTGCTCCAGACCTAGAGAATACCATTCAATCCCTCCAAAGAAGCATGGTCTCTCCCCTGGTAGTTCTGCCCCTACATCTAGGGAATCTGGGAAGACATCAGTGAATCGTTGTCAACATCAAACCCCATACTACGTTGGTAAGCATCATTCTTCTTAACGTGTCTGGCTGGTTTTGTTCCTGAACTGTTTCATCAGTTCTTGGGCGAAAGACTCCAAGTGTAGTAAGCGGAACACCCCTTAGTCTGCCTGATGGCAAATTCCACTTTCCGAGTGTGTGTTTTCTAAAGCAAAGCTCCCTCCACCTATTTAATGCCCCAGTCTGTCCTTGCAGGTGTCCCCATCAGCCTAGGTGCAGGTGCATCACACAGGGTGCTTCATCTTTCTGAATACACCCGTGGAGCCCCGTGACATCCGGAGACTCTCCCCTTGTACACTCTGCAGCTGCAGCGGGAGCAGCAGGGGCTGGAGGGGTCACTGCCCGTCTCCACCACACAGCCTGATGCCCCTCCTTGGAGGCAGTTCCAGAGCCAGGCACAGCTTGGCCCAACACACATGGTCAACCAGACTTTCAGACTTGGAAGGGGGCCAGAAGTTCAGAACCCACCCAACTGGTGCACCCAAAACCTCATGTGAGCGGCTCCCTCTTGTTAAGACATGAAAGGCTCTACCTAATATGAAAGGAGGAAAAAGTGATCCAGGAAAGGAAACAAGCCAACAATTGCCATGCATTCATGCCTAGTCAGCAATTAGCACAAGAGAGCTTTCAGTGTCAACGCATGAAGAAGACCCAAGGGGCTGCAGCCAGGAAGGGCGCCCGGAGGTTCTGAAGGTGAGCAAGAAGAGGGAAAGACAAAGGTGGAGGGAGTGGAGTCTGAATCCCACCCTGCCCCCCAGTTTGCTCGAGGCCCACCCTGTTCTTCCCAAACACACTGGCCCACCTTGTAAGCAACTTCCACAGTGAACATTTTCAACATCAAAATATTAATAATAAGGCACCTTCTCAAGGATCTCCTGTGAAACTTGCCTTTGGTTAAGGAATTCCTAGCCCAGGAAAGCAGTGGGAATCCTGCAGTAAGTGGTTTTTTAAGATCAGCTGGCAGGGTCCCAGCAGGCTGCTCCATAGTCGATAAGAATTACTAAACATCATTGCAAAGAGTGCAGAGTAATTCCACGGGCCAAACAGAAAAGGAAGATGAAGTTAATTGGCACCAGAAGTAAAGACCAAACCCCAGACTTGCCATAGAGTATTTGCTGACCAGAAGGGCTTGGTGGAAATCTGAAGGAGGCCTGTGGGTTGCAATTATCCATTCTTTGTGGCCTTCGGAGGCCCTGGGTACCTTGGTGATCACAGCAGGAGAGTGGCTCCCATCTGCAGGACATTAACAACTCCAGTCCATGGGCCTCTGAGAGTCCTGTAGAGACCAAATCACATGCATTATTGGAGGAGACAGCATAAGGGAGTGAGCATGAGGACAAAACTTACAGCTGTACCTTGCAGCTTCTCATTGTAGAACTAGGAGTTCCTAGTACCCAAGGGGTGGCCACCACTGGACCCAGCAGCCAGTGGGGAGATGGCACGGGGAGAAGCTTTGGGAGCCTCCAGTCCACTTGAGCTTTTGTACCTGGAACCACCTTTCCGGAGACGCGGGACAAGCAGGGTGGAGATGTCACTGCTGAAAGAGAAGAGCAAGCAGCCAACCTCCTAGTCCTTCCCACCAAATGTTTGCTCCTGCCTGGGAGGCGACCTAATGCTTCCCATGCAGGGATGCACCTTCTGTTTGCAGTGGTACAATGAGATTTCACCACTCCTAAAGCTCTTTAGCCCTGTGCCAGGGGTTGTCATTCTAGATCCCACTTCCCAGGGCCGGCTCCATACCCGTCGTGCCTGGCTGAGAAAAGGGCTTCGCACGAGCATCGCATGGGTGCCTTTGAATTGCACAAGTCTCCTACTTCACACTTGGGCAACGGTCCTCAGACAGAGAATACTTTTGGTTGCGATATGAAGCACCTTTTTTCCTCTCGTACAGTCCCTGGAGTGGAAGCGCACCATGGAGACTGACTTCATGCATTTGCCAGTTTCCTTCCTGAAGTTGACATAAAGCAGCATTTGGTTTTGATCCAACACAGAAAAACCTCACATCAGTACTGGAACTAGGAGTTCCATGGTAGTTTATGCAATTCATGGTTTAAAATGGAATAAAAACCCCAAATGAGGGTGTTTTGGCGGGGGGGGCTCTACAGTTGGTGACAAAGGGCTTCACTTTAATGTCTAAGGACCACAAATTACACAAGCGGTGCTAGCTTAGGGGAGGCTGTCTTCTTCACACTGTGCTCCCTAAAGTACCTAGACAAGGCATTTCCATTCTATCCCACTGACTCAGGGACAGAAAAGAAAATCATCCTGAAAAACTCACTGACTTTAAGACTTTGCCATGCATACTGGTCACTGCCCTGTTATAGGGGCCAATACCAAATTGTCCTCAATTTCTTCCCCAAATACCAACCCATACAGAATTAACTGGGCTCTATGATGCTAACATGGTTTGCCTTTACATTCCTCCCAAGGCACTCTCCCGTCATGAAGCGTGACCGGGCAGTGGGGCTGCAGTAGCCACAGGCTGTCCTTGCTCCTGCCTGCCGAGGCTGCCGGCTGCTGGCTGCTGCTGATCAGCCGGCCCCCAAGGCGATGGCTTAACAAGCCCCAGTAGAAGGGAATGGGAGGGGCTTCTCTCTTCCCTCTGCAAAGAAAATGAAATGGATAGAAATTATATTGGGAAGTCATTCCCGCCCACCCACATCCATCATTACACAGGAATGGGCTGACAAAGGATCATGACCCATGTGAAGGATTATACAGCCAGACCCACGGCCGCCTCTGCCACCGTCCCCCATGCCACCCAATCACGTGAAGGATTATACAGCCAGACCCATGGCTGCCTCTGCCACCTTCCCCTGTCCCACCCAATCACGTGAAGGATTATACAGCCAGACCCACAGCCACCTCTGCCACCGCCCCCCATCCCACCCAATCACGTGAAGAATTATACAGCCAGACCCACGGCCACCTCTGCCACTGCCCCCCATGCCACCCAATTAAGAAATCCCAGTTTGCTTGAACACCATCTCGTTCTCAGACTCCCTATCCCCACACTCTTAGTTCTTCATCCCTAAAATTATAATAACCAGAAATGAATCTGCCAGAAGGCTTTAAGGATTAATCGTTATATCACCTATGAAAATAAACTGAAATTATTTTCTAAAATAAAAATGCTCTAGGAATCCTGGGGACAGTGGCTCACACATGTAATCCCAGCATTTTGGGAAGCCAAGACGAGTGGATCACCTGAGGTCAGGAGTTTGAGACCAAGACCTGGCCAACATGGTAAAACCCCATCTCTACTAAAACTACAAAAATTAATTTGGCGTAGTGGCAGGTGTCTGTAATCCCAGCTACTCGAGAGGCTGATGCTGAAGAATCACTTGAACCCAGGAGACGGAGGTTGCAGTGATCTGAGATTGTACCACTGCACTCCAGCCTGGGCAACAGAGCGAGACTCTGTCTCAAAAACAAACAAACAAAAACTCTAGGAAGAAAAATTCAAAAATCTCTCTCTTAGACTTTAGGTTAGGGCTAGAATGATAATTTGAGTTAGAGTATAATTGACAAAAAGAGAATTTGTTTGTTTGTTTTTTTACCTTAATCTGGGTGGGATAAGTTAATAAAATGAAACATATTTAGAGGTAAAGATTATTTTTCTTCATCCTAAAGTGAATGGGAAGACAATAAAATCATTTAAGCAAAGGGACGACATGGTATGTTTGAATTTTAGAAAGATCAAGAAGGGAGGCGGCCAGGTGTAGGGAGAGCTATGCAGTGGGATGGGCACCCTCCACATCATTCCAGGCACACGGATACGGAAATTACTGGAACAGAGAGATGCCTGCCTTCACGGGGCTTACAGTCTAACTGGGGGAGACTGAAAACAAGCAAATTAATGAAGAAAGCATGTACACCAGAGTGCTGGGGAGGAAAATACGCAGGGAGGGGAAGGGGATCTATCGGGTGAGTGGGCACAATTTTAATGATAGTGCTCGTCAGTATCTCAGACCCTTTCCATATAGTTTGACTTTTATCAAGCTGTCATCCATGTGTTGGAGCCACCAGCAGTGGATGGAGGAGGGCACTGAAGCAGAAAGAAAAGCAGGGGCTGTAGGTCTCATGGCCACTGTGCTTGGGAGAGCAACAGCCTCAGTAAGAGAGGGACCATGACCTTCAGATCTAAAGCTGACCCCAGTGAACCCCGACGTTTGAAACTCACCTCCCATGCTGTCCCTGTCCACCCGACCTGCACACCTA